TTAAATAAACACTATCAAGTCAACAATAAAAGCTGGGAAGTTTTTGCATGCTATTCATCATTCCAAAATTACTGCACATGGTCAATGATCTCTTGTGCTCACGCTCACACATCACATCAATATCAGACTTGTCTTTTCCCAGAAAGGAATCTGAAACAAGGAGAAAAACCCCTGCTACTGTCCTTTTTGATAGACATACACAAGCGACCATTCCCAGAGGGAGGAAGGTTTCAGGAACAATAGTAAATGTAGACAAAAAGTATTAGGATGCAGAAGAAACAGATGCAGATGAATTTACATTATCACTTGTAGATTCATTTTCTAAGGATTGGTTATAGTGAAGAATGTGATTAGCCCACAGCAAAACTCTAATCCATAATTTGGAACAATTCACTAAGACCTTGCACATTTTTTTCATGTAAAGCAAATGCTTCAGCAATAATGAGGCAGGTAAACAAGACTGAATTGCAGACAATCTCTTGCAACTCACATCTCACATGACATTTTTGGATGCCACCAAAACGTCTATGGGATAAACTTAGCATGTGTTCATACAGAAGTGTGAATGTGTGTCTGTACATGCAAAATACAGCCCTCCTAGTCCACCTGTTAGCATGCAAGAAAATGGGGGGTTGACATGTCAGACTCTTCTCTGGTCAAGTATCAGGGTGTTAAATACAAGGTGGAATCTAGAATTTATAGCATAGTACTTGAAAATGGACAGATGTTTACCATTGCATCTTTCATTTTTCTCTGGCAGCATTTCTTCAACTCCACTTTCTTTATCCTAGATGAAATTCTTTTTATGGTGAAATTTACTTTCCAAACACTACTCCTTAATGCCTTCCTGAAAAGCCTCTGTCCTGCCTGAGACTAACCTTTATTAAACATGCACCAAGTTTTAGCACAATTTGTCCCAAACACACTTGGTTCCAAATTACTTTGGGATAAGATACTTGGGAATGAACAAATTTTAAGGTGGAAAGAGAAAGAAGAGGTCATAGAATGGTTTGGGTTGAAAGGGACCTTTAAAGATCATCTATCCCAACTCCTCAGCCATGGGCCAGGGGCACCTTCCACTTAAACAGGTTGGTCAGGGCTCTGTCCAACCTGTCCTTGAACACTTCCAGGGATGGGCCATCCAGCTTCTCTGGGCAACCTGTTCCAGTGCCTCACCAGTTTACCTCTGAGTAAAGAATTACTTCCTCTCAACCTCTCACCTTTCACTTTAAAGCCATTCCCCCTTGTCCTAGCACTATCTGCCCATGTAAAAAAAAGTTTCCCTCTTTCTTGTAAGCCCCATTTAAGCTATGAGGTCTCCCTAGAGCCTTCTCTTCTCCAGCTTGAACAACCCCAACTCTCTCAGGAAAGGCGCTTCAGCCCTCCGAGCATCATCAAGAAGTGTTGTGCTTCTGCACATTTCAAATCAGTCTATGACCAGAGATAATTGGTTTCTTATGCCATGCTGTTCCCATGGCATGTCAAAACATATCCAATCAGTGTGTCCAACATCTTTGCAGAAGAGCACTTGTCACATTCAGTAACACAGCATAGAAACATAAAAATAGAAGCACAATTTTTTTTTTCCACAAACAGCAGCAGGCCTGTTGTCCTAATTTACAAACTGACAAGTTTCTTTGTGGAATAAATTGCCAAAGTCATTCACCAAAAAGTCAAAACTGATATAAGATTTAGTTATGTACTATCTATTGTTTCTGTAGTTTCCACACCACTACTCTTCCACTAAGGTATTTTTTCATATTGAAGTAATTTGCAAGTTTCCATAACTTTTTCCAGTTGCACTACACAATTCACCCCCCCACCTGAAAAGTTGTATGGCAGACAGCAGCCTTGGCTAGTTCTTTAAAAGCACTTGCAAGTTTCCAGCAACATTGTTTCTCTCTCAGAATTCATTTCCTTGCTTTTAACATTGGTGACAAAAACTAGATTTTAATGACTTTTTTATGACTTAAGGTAAAGCAGACCCTAAAAACTAAGTTCATGTGCCACTGAATTGCTATCCTCTCTGGAAATCAGGAGCTCAGAGGCTCCATTTCGCAGCTGTGATAAAGGTTTTTAATAGCAATATCTTTATCATGCATTTATTAGCTATGCAGCTGCATATTTAGCAAGCTAATGATACCCTGGTAAAATGAAACCACAGTAACACATTCAACACCTGTATTTGTCTCGAGACAGCAAACGAGATTGATAATTTTTTTACTTGAGAGACTGTCTTGATTAAATATGGCTTAGGGAGAACCTACTATAACGTTGATAACTTTTTCAATTAAAGTCTTTAATTTTTAGGTCTGAATGGACAAAATTTAGTTTATTGTTTAGTACCATAAACAGAGAGACGGAATACTTGATTTCATTCTTTGATTCCTGCTTTACTTTTCAGCTCTAGAGAAACTTCAGATACACTGTGGTATTTTTCTTACCTTCCTGACTGAAAGCTCTTCCACCTGCTGTATCACAGTGAATTATGTCAGCATGTACTGATTATAAGTGACATTGGTCTGGATGGGTCGGATCAAAAGCTTTGTTATGCTCAAAGGACACCAGGTGGTGGTGGAAGACTCCTAAGTAGCATATTTGCATTCCTTACATTGTGACATTCATGTTGCCTTTCTCTTCAGACTACCTTCTCTCCTTCAAGATCTGCACTGCTGAAAGCTTTGAGACATAAAAACAACAATAACTGGGTCTTCAAAAGCCTAGCCAGCATAAAACCCTGTTTCAAACAGTATTCTCAAGTGGACACCAGCAAGAAGGGTAAGAGTGAGCAAAGCATACACAAGTGCTTTTTTCTGAGCAGTGTCCCTGATGCCAGCCAGGTAACAGTGGTGTACTCCATATCAACTGGATCATTCCCGGACACTCCATTTCCCAACCTGGCCCTTAGAAGCCTTTAATAAGCTTTACCAGGCTACCGTTTTATGAAAACAAAGTCTAGTACACATCTCACTCTATCAGCTTAAAACTAGGCACTGCATCATTAACATTTAAATTTGACCTACTCTAATAAAGTTGCTATGAAAATTCACATTAAAGTCCTTGTATCACAAACTACAACAACCTATGTAGCATCTTAAGGAAGCACAGTGTCACTTTTCTGAAGGCTTTGCAACATGAGCCATTTACTTTCCCCATTTTTGCTGGCTTTTATGCTACACCCCCAATTTCCCAACTTCCTGTCCTGTTTGGTCATACAGTTCAGAAAGAAAGGCTATTATTTCTACTTCTAACACGACATTCCTATACAACATGCCAATATACCACATAAGACTGCAAAGCCTCTGGGTAGTGTGATTGAAGAGTTTAACTGTAAAGGCAAAAGGGCATCATAATTCAGGGCATTCATAAAACTTCTTAGAAAATTGAGAACGACCCATAACACTAGCAGCTACAGAAAGCTCTACTATCTACAGGACTTTGAGAGCAAGAAATCAAATCAGGTATATATTAACTGACTTTTTTCAACACTCAAAGCAAACAAACAAGTTCAGTCGATGAGGTAACATTACTTCTGACAGTGAATGTTTGATATGAATTAAATAATTAGGCAAAAGGTAAATATCAGCACTTGACATTTTTTGCTTCTATAAAGAAATAATTAAATTTTCCACTTAGATATTAGTTTCAATTTTCTTACAAATGTTATGAATATTTTTTTAAGGGGCATCCAATGTTTTTACTGTGATACACCACACTTTTTTGCAGGTGTTGAGTACCCTTGCATGCCCTGTTACAACTACCTGGCACAGCAGTGTCATTGGTATTTGTGAAGTTCATTTTCATCTGGCACCTCCAGAGCAATATACAGATTCCCTGGAATAAGAACTAGAAACAGAGGAAAAACTGCTACTGTTTGCAAATTTGCTTGCAAGGGCCAGCAGGCCAAGAGATGCTGCTCTCAGGAGAGTGCCTGGTAAAAATGACAAATTTCTATATTAATTCTGTAAGTCTTAAGTTCAAACTCTGAAAGAGCATTTAAACCAAGGCAGTTGTTAGTAGCTCAAATAATTTTTAATAGTTCACCTGTGTTCTGTACTCTATGCCTGCTGCATTTCTTTGAATACTACAGATCTACAGTTGCTAACTATTATAAACTATAAAGCTTTCTTGTTACAGCTAGCTTCAAGCTGAAAACAAAATTAAAATCTCATCCAATAAAACTGATAACAGCAGGCCCACTGTTTTTATGACTAAAATGAAAAGCTTTATTCATATTGCAAAGCAGTCAGAGACAAGACAGGGTAAGCACCATTCTGAGAGGCTCTGCATTAACATAACATGAGGAGTCTCTGCACTAAAAAGCTGACAAGTCTAAATCATTTCAGGAATGTTTTTAGACGTCTGGGGCACAGAATTCCACAGACTGAAGGAATATTGGATAGTGCAGAGAAAAACAAGGGAGGAGAGAAGTCAAGTGAATCCACTGCTACACAGAAGCTAAATATTAAGCAGAATCCCCCTGGGAGACAGTTTTCAGTAAAAAGACTTCAGTGAACATTGATTTAAAGCAACCACATGATTCAAAACTCACAGGTTTATGGTGAAATATTGTTCTGAAACTTCCTTAACAACAAAAGAGATTCAGAAATTCATCCTACTTTATAAACAAGTATCATTTTCATAGTACTTCTAGTGTGTTGAAGGCTTTCTCTACCATATCACTCTGCATATTGAAGGGTTATAACTACACCTTTCCTCATGTGATCAATCAAGCATTTATTTTCCTTCTCTGGGAGGAAAAAAATTATGAGGATGAAAACGCTGAAAGAGATGCTTGGCCTTATTTGTCCAAGCAGTGAAAAAAGTAACCATCAAATTGAAGTTCATTTTAAAAGTGCTAAAGAAGAATCATGGGTGAAGAGAAAAAGCACAAGCACATGAAAGCAAACATATGCGTGTGTTCATGTTCACATACATGTTCTTATACACTGACTGCCCTATATCAGTAATAAACTGTCTGAAAAGCAATAAGGACTAACCTCCACATTTTAGTGAAACTGTGCATCAGGCTCACACAGCGAGGCAGAGTTGGAGGTTTGAGTCCATCCATTTGAAGGAGGAGGGCAGGAACACCATACAGAACCAGGTATTTCACGTAAAAAAACAGCACTTGAGCTAGAGCCAGGCCACCTAAAAGAAAAAAAAATAAACATACCTTAAACAAGGTCCGAAATATTTTTAAAACCTGTTAATACTGACTACTTCCAAACAGCAATTATTCAAAGAACTAAGACAAGCATCATCGGTTGATGGGATAGACACCAGCTACTTTTGCAACAGCCACAGGATGAAAGCACATGCCCTTATGACATTAGGCACACACACAAAATAATACCATCATTCCAATATGAAGGCACAAGTATGTATCTGTAGTTCCACCTTCAAAAATCTCTGGACTGTGGGTGTCGCTATGAAAAAAATAAATACTGACTTGAGTTAAAATCAGAACATAGTGATATAAGCAATGAACATGTACTACAGAGAAAATGAAATTTATCTTTGTAAAAAAAAAAACAAACACAAAACCAACCAAAAACCAAACAACCACTCTACACTTTTTGCTACAGAACAGATATAAACAATGGTTATCATTGCAGCTTATCCTGACAGTCCCACAAACATCCCACATCCTGTCAGATTAAGTTCCCAGAAAATACCCTCTACAAGGTCCCTTCTGCTGCAGCCAAGGCATAGAAGACTGGAACTCCACTTGAGATAATGCTCAAAGCATATTTCAATTTTTAAACCCACAGGACAAAGGTCTCCTTAAGGTGCTCTAGCTACCTGATTTCCAAAGGAGAAATTTTGGCAGTGTGTTTGCTCACGATTTAACCTCAGGGTATGGCACAAAATGTAGCATCTTGCACAGGTGTGAGGTGAAAATCATACATATTCTCAGAGTCATTACTCATGCAAGTACAACCTTTGCATGTATTACGAAGGAAGATGATTCATATTAATATTCTAAATGTTTTCTGCCGAACAAAATGGCATTGACCAATAATCATAAGTAGAAAGCCAGTAAAAAGCAGAGGTTGACACATTTACAGAAACTGGTGAATTTATTCCTAAAAGACCCAACTTTGGCGAACTTTTCCATCTAACTGACAATTTACAAAAGGAAAATCTCACCACAAAGAAGGGAAACTAAAATTATTATACTTCAGGAGAGAAAAAAAATTATATAATGCAATTTTTACATTTCCTTTCATTCTAGTGTTCTGCTTTGCCTCAGTCATATTAACTAATTTGACTAAAGCACTTTAGATATTTAGCCTAATTTTAAATCCTTCCAGCAGGCTTTCCTTGGAGACAAAGTTTTCAATCTGACTGCAGCAGTACAAGTCCATGAACATTTAAATAATCTTCCTTTTCTGGGTGCAAAACATCCCTTTTGCGTTCTGCTGACTAATGAGTATACTATGGATGACAACTAAAAGTTAAAAATTAAAAATTCATCTACTGTATAGCAACCTAGAGTGAAATTCTGGCACTGATGATGTAAAATGCAAAACTCCTGCTGGCCTACACATGACCAGTATTTTGCTACTACAATCCAACATTTTTAGTTTTAATATTATGACCCATGCACATTATAGGAAACAGTTGTGACATACAAGATAAAAACTGATATTAGAACAAAATACCAAGACATGAAGCTTATGTTTTTTTACTTCAGGGGAGCAGCCATCTAGTTTTCAATAGCATTTTCCCCCAGAGGGAAACAAATAATCAGAAGCACAATTTGGATACTAGCCAATTAGCTCCACATTAGATTACTGCTAAATCATCTATACCATCAACTTTCTGCTTTAATTCCCATCTCATTCAGAGTCTCATTTGTTTTCTGGCAAATTTCATTGGAGAGCTGAGCACCGACACCCACACAAACCAATTACAAAGAGCACAGCTGCCTGTGCAGTAGTAAAATTCAAAATCCTTTGGTTGTGCTTGATGGAAAGATATTTAGAAACAGAATTCCACTCTCTTGAGACTTGAAAATCAATACATTTGATTTTAAATACAAAGATGAAAGATTCTGAGTTCTCAGACACAAAGATATGCAAGTTTTAGAAAAAAAGGCATTTTCACCCATCTCCAGTAACACCCATGTAAGTTGTCATTACTGTAACAGACAGACAGCTCAGTAGCAGTGGTGTCTTAAACACAGACATCACATAACCAATCACTACCTGGCACACACGAGCTGTTCTGCGAGTGGCAATTTTAAGAGTCACAATAACAGCAACACAAAGGCCCCTGTCAAAATACATAGATTAAGTTCTCATTGGTTTTGGACTCATCCCAGAAGTATGACAGTTCTGGACACACATGGAAAGCTAGGGGCAAGATTCACAGCCACGCACAACAGCTGGGCTGCATCGGTAACAGGCACAGCCTTTAAATCTTCTTGCATACCCGAGACATTCCAGCTGCTTTGCATTTGCTCCATTCTAGCACAAAGCAGCCAGAATACACTGCTTCACCTGGTTTAAAAACATGAAATCAAAAACAAATTTTAAGATCAATGCCAAATTTCTCAAATTCATTAACACTATCATGTAATTTGTTCTCTAGCATTTGATAGAAAGCTTAAGAACTCATCCTCACACATGACCATTATCTTAAATTGGAAACAAGCTATATTAAGTGTATATTAAAACACATCTAAGGGAAAACGTATTGCCAGAATTATCTTTTCCCCAAAATAAATTAGTTCAAAGGATTCAGAGTCAAGGTTAATTATTTTTTTTAAAATAGAAATGTGTTAAGGGATAAAATAGTTAAAAGTACCCAATCTTGACCCCATATACTTCAACAGTCAAGCTGTTTGAAGTCCCAGATTAAAGTAAATTACTTTTATAGAAGTTGGTATTTTCAATTTATCATCTTGTAATCCTCAAAACATTCTAGGTTTTCCTATGCTTTAAAAATGTATTTATAGACCTTCAAATAGTTTCCTTAACCTTAAATTTACTGCAAAACTGTATTTCCTAAGTTTCATAGAGCTCAGTTTCAAGGATAATTAGAATTTAGAATATTCACAAGTTTTAATTTGTTTTAGTCTACATGTTCTCAGAACTCTGCCTAGTATTTTTTTGACAAAAGTTAACAAATAGCAAGCAATAAAATACTTGGATCCAGGTATTACAAACCATACTTGGCATTTTTCTGTCCATAAACTATCACCATCACCAAAAGTCATGGTCAACTGTAACTTAGAAGGCAATTTTATTAAGAGCACTCACAACTTGACCATTTTTGCAGCTACATTGACCCTATGACATTACTGACTGCAGATGCTTGTTTCTGTCAAGTATTAGGACAGGTTCAACTAGAAAACAGAGATAAATATGCAGTCACATTTCAAAAGAGTTACTGACACGTGGCAGAAGTCTAATAGGAAGCAGAGATTTATAACAGCTCAGAATTTGGGGCTGCATCATCAAGTTCAAAATATCCCAGCCTTCCCGTAGCACACAAGAAGCAAGAAACATCCTGATGTGTATGGAGCAGTGGCAGGAAAGTAAATACCACAGTGTTTGTCCTGGAGGCTAAGTGCTTATTTTTAGACAAAACTAAATGGACATAAAGATCCCAGAATGAAATTACTTACACAAGACTAAACAGAGCTGTCAAGGGACTCTCAGTCAAGGCATAGACAGTTCTTCCAGGTTAAAGAAAACCAGAAGGTTTTTCAAGCACACACATGCCTTAAAGGCACCTACCTTGAATATTCCCAAGGCCTTTGAAAAACCTGGTCTAGTGGAAGGTGTGTTTCTTCACAGTGGCTAGTATGGGGCTGTGTTTTGGACTTGTGCTGAACATAGAGCTGATGAAAACACAGGGATGTTTTCATTACTGCTGAGCAGGGCTTGGCAAGTCAAGACCTTTTCTGCTCCTCACCCTACCAGCAAGAAGGCTGGAGGGGTACAAGGATTTGTGGAGGGGAGGGGACACAGCCAGGACAGATGACACAAACTGACCAAAGGGATATGCCATACCATATGCTCATGCTCAGCATATATAGCTGAGGGAAGAAGAAAGAGGGGATGCTCCTGGTGGTGGCGTTTGTCTTCCAAAGTAACCGCTGTGCATGATGGAGCCCTGCTTTCCTGAAGATGGCTGAACACCTGTCCGCCCACAGAAGCAGTGAATTAGTTCCTTGTTTTGCTTTGCTTGCACATGCAGCTTTTGCTTTATCTATTAAACTGTCTTTATCTCAGCCTATAAGTTTTCTCAGTTTTATCCTTCCAATTGTCTTCCCATCCCACCGCAAAAGGAGTGAGCAGCTGTGTGGTGCTCAGTTTCTGTCTGGAGTTAAGCCACAACACACGAGTAAAAAAAGTAGTCATAGAAGTAGGTTAATTAACAATACTATCTGGAAGTTTATCCTGCAGAAAAGATTAGGAAAAAAAATTACTTTCCCAGACACACACTTCTTTATCTAAAACAGTGAACTACTTAATATTTTAGAAAATAAAATCTAAGACTTCTGATTCATGTTCACGTTTCCAGTTTTCAAAACAGACATCAAGATGCCAAATATTTTATCAGTTTCTCCCTATAATCTTGTAGGATGAAAGAAGTCTCAGATCACTCTTAGTATTTCATAATGCACAGACACTCTAATTTCAATAGCAAAACACTGCATGCTTCTTAAAATGAACTCAGAAATCCATTTTCTATCTATGGGTTTATTAGAAAAAACTGCACACACATGAAAACCAGCACCTTACATCCAACCTACACTGACTACTCAGCTAGGTCTTACTTTCAAGGAGGAACTCATGTAACACGTTTTCTTCTAACAAATTAAAACATAGAATCAGCACTTACAGATTAAACCATGTGGCTCCATCTTTGAATAGATCACATTCTAGACTGACTTACATGCCACTCATACGAAAATACCCTTTTGAAGTATTAGAGCCTAGTTAATAGTTAAAACAATGATTGTTAATTGACCCTAACTTGTGCATACTTCACTACAAAAAAAAAAAAAACAGCACATGGTTAAGACCAACACATTAAACCCACAGAGCATTCGAAACCTTCTATCACACATGTGTACATCTCAGATGTATGTCTATACATCACACACCTGACAAAGCACATATAGATTCCTA